TAAGAAATCCACACAGGAGACACAACCAGAATCCAGTGAGACAACAGAAAAACCCCATCAGTCACTCAGTCTCCCCTTGGAAATGAGAGTTGAGTTACAAAGCAAGAATCGCCCTTTCAAACAGTAGCAGCCAAACTGTCACCAGCTCCACCAATGAGAGGGAACCCGATGCCACATCTCGGGCCTGCACCTCCCCGGCTCCCAGGACCCAGCCTACCATGAATTTCATGCCAGTATCCCCGCCCTATAATAAGTTATTCAGACGAAAAAATGCACTTAAAAAGAATTGTTTTTAAAACTTTGGGGAGGCAGGAGAGACGACCACAGATTTACAGCTTAAACTGTCAGTAAAAATTCTAGAGTTAAAAAAAAATTCTACGTGTTGCTCAGGTGACGTCCACCTGGAAGCTCCCCACGGCGCCCAAGGACACACGTGACAAACGACACGGCTCCCGTGTTCTGACGAGAATCACCTCAGATCCTTTTCTAGTTCCTCGACTTGGAAGTCTAGCCTTCCCTACCAGAAAGCAGAATCCCCAACTGCGTTTTCCAACATGCCAGACTGAGCGTGTTCTTGAAACAGGGAGTTCTAAGGGATTTCAACATCCTACTTCATCTAACTAACACACACCATTTTTAAGTCTGCGGTGGTTAATCCTGCCTCCGACAACGAGCAGGCTGTTCGGAGGTGTGGCACGCACCACGACGCAGTCCTAACGGCAAATGACTGTCGCACGATTCACGGGAGGCACTGGCTAAATGCTCCCGCCTTCCCCAAAGCCACCCCTTGTGAGCTGACCGCGTCCGTCAGCCCTGGGTGATTTCTGAACGTCTCCCAGAAACACAGATGTGTTTGATCACCAAACAGAGACATCCACAGATCAGCCTGAGCTCAATCAGAGAACTGGGAAGGCAGCACCGCCCCAGTGGGTCGGCCTGACCCGAAAATCTGTTTCCCCCAAGAGAACCCTTGTCAGCTGGCGAGGCTGGGAGCCGGCCATGGTGCGTGTGACTCTGGCCTCTATAGGCTTGGCTAGAGAGCAGCTGGAGAGTGAGGACCCGCTGTCCTATGCCCGGGCCTGTGCCCCCGCCACGCCGCCACCCCGCGTGAGGAAGTGGGGAGGGGTGCATTACTTGGGTCCGGAGTGAGCATGGTGGACACAATGATGGGGGCCCCCGTCCGCCGGGCCACCTTCTGGTAGGGCGAGTGTGGCACGTGGAGGCTCTGGCCGGCTGGCGGCAGCGTGGACGGCTCCACGGGGACCCCGGGCTTGCGCAGCAGCTGGGGGCTGCCGTGGGGGCTGGGCAGGGGGGACGCGGCCATGCTTCGCTCCCGCTTCAGCAGCTCCATGGGCACCGTGGAGGCTGTGGAGTAGGCTGTCCTGGGGCCCGGGTTCGGCAAGGCCACTCCGGCCTGCGGGGGGCACGTGGGGCCCAGTCGCGCTGTCAGGGCACAGGGGGTGGGAGAGCCGCACCCGGAGCCGGAGGGGAGGTGGGCGGCCTGGGTGCCCACGCCAGGAGCGGCGTAGGTGGCTGCTGCCTCCAGGAGGTGCTGGGAGGGTGCGCTGGACGGGCGGCGGGCCCGGTCTGCAGCTCGGGGCGGTGCCGCCTGCAGGGGGCCCATGGGCTGTGGCTGCAGACAGGACAAGTCGCCGTGGGGCTCGCTTCGGTGGCTGAAGCTGCTGGAGCGTGTCCGGGGCAGGGGGCCCGCCCGGCCCTGCCTCCGCAGCTGCATCTCGGTCCTGCAGCTGCCGGCCAGGCGGCTCAGGACGCGGGCCTGGCCCAGGTTGGGTGCGACACACTTGATGTCCGCCTCCTCCATTGTGGCCAGGACGGCCGGGGAGTCAAAACCCTGCTGGAGCAGGGCCACCAGGGTGGCCTCTGCCACCCCCTCAGCCCGGAGGAGGGCCAGGAACTCGGGCCGCACGCCCCTCCTGTCACCAGGCTCCTGGAAGGCGGACAGGTCGGCCTCACAATTCTCATAAGCCATCCTGGAGGGGACGCTCTCCTGTCCGTAGCCTCGGTTCAGAGCAGCGGGGGCCAGCCCTGGGCCTCCCTCGGAGGCAGCGGCCCCGGTGGGGTCCACAACCAGGCACGTGGGGGCCGCCTGCCTGGCGGGCGCGGGGTCCAAAGGCCTGTCGCCAACATCATTGTAGACCTGGCCGGGGGCGTAGGGCGCCGCCTCCACCCCGTACCTGCCGTCGGCCGGGTCCACGGCGTAGCGCGCAGGCGACGGGGCCCTGCTCTGTGCCCGCTGCCCCGGAGTGGCTGTCCTACCTCCAGCGTCCCGGTACAGGGGCCCCGGGTCCTGCAGGGCAGGGGCCCGGCCTTGCACGTGCTCCCACGTCATCCTGCCGCCAAGCACTCCGTAGCCGGGCAGCGGCCGGCCGAGTCCAGGGTCCCGCGGGTGGTGTGGCTCTCTGGGCCCCCGAGCGGCTCCAGACAGGTTGCCGTAGTAATCCTGTGGCAGCAGGGTGCCGCGGGTGGACATCACGGCCTGTCTGCTGTCGTAAAAGGTGAAGTCGGGGACAGAGCTCTTCCTGCCGGCCCCCGAGCCGTAGAAGGCCTCACGGCAGAGGTCGGGCGCCGGCTCGTACCAGGGTCCCTCTCCACCTCCGTCCGTCAGGGATCTGCTCCGGCCCGGAGCCTCTGCCATCTCCCAGGGGCCCTCGAACCACCCGGAGGCGTCCCAGCTCTGAGAACGCCCGATATTGACATGCCTGCTGGGCACCGGCATGGGAAGAAAGGGAATGACGGCTGAGGCGGAGGCCTTTCCTTACGAACCTTCAATTACACACACCAAAACCAGGCCGGCGGTGTCCCAGGCGGTGCCCAAGCCCTTCCGGACAGCAGGAACAGCCAAGTGCGTGGGTTTCCTATTTCAAAGGACGGCCTGAATTATTCATCCTCGAAACCTTAGTAGGCAAAGCACAGCGCGCACGGTAACTTCCCTCGCTCCCTGACTGCAGCGGGCAGTCTTGGCGAGGAGGCTGCGGAGCCTGCGGCCCCCGCCCGCTGCTCACATGGTCTTCGGCTCTCTGGCGCGGATTAGGAGCTAAATAAAACCCCTAAAGCTTTTGTTCCATGTGACATCTCTAGACTGATGGAGCCGCTGCCTCTCCATCAGGGCCTCCCGAGCTGCGAGTGGGAATTATCTTCACACCGAAGCTCTGGCTTATCACCCCTGTCCTCGCCAGGGTGCTTTTTGGATGAGCACTGCTCTCCGCCCCCCGCCAAGGGGCCTCGCCCCACCCCTGCCTCTGACTCCTAAAAGTGACAGAAGGAAAACAGAAAAAGACCGCTTTAATGTCAATGCAGTCTTAATCCACCCTGATGCAATGTTAATCCACTGCGTGCGCTAAGGACACAGTAAATGTGAACACGCAGGCAGGATAAAGAGACCGACATCTCATACCCGGTTCCAGGGCATGAGGTGCCGAGAAATGGGCCAGGTCTGCAGCTGAAGCTTTGCCATATTGAAATGTGGCTCTGAGATGACGCCTTGGTGACGAATCGAATGAGTTACATCGCTCAGGTCCAAATACAATCTTTACCTTGTTATCATTAAACACAGATCCCTTCATACTCCTGGGGGAGTGAGGGGAATGGACCCCATCCTAAACAAAACAACCACCACCCGAGCGTGTGATCTAGGATTTAGCATTTAGGACTGCCACAGAGGTCACACTAAAAGCACAACGGGGAAGCAGCTGCACCTTTGGTGCATCGTCCTTCAAATACGCTGGGAAGGAAAATCCACCTTCAGCAGCCATGGCCTGGTTGCCTCTGGCAGACAACATTCCACATTCTCACGGATGAAGATTTTACGTAGCCCACGAGAGACTCAGGTCTAATATCGTAAGGAGCAGTCACTCAGGTGAAGGGCAAACCCCCAAACTGGGGCACTGACCCATTTCCCAAGAGCACAGCAAGGAGGGTCCCAGAGAAGCAGCGCCGTGGGCCGACGAAGCTGGCCTGCCTGCTCCCGCCTCGTCACAGGGCCTCGCGGCTCGGCCGCGGGCGGGAGGGACGCGTTCCAATGAGGTAACGCGCGTGTTTGATGCCGCTGAACCTAGGAGGGTTTTGTCTTCAACTATGTCTCTCTCAATTCATGACCCAACTGGGATCTTCAACTACAGACAAATACCAGTCATTAAAAAAACAAAACAAAACAAAAACAACACTTTTTTTTTTCGACGTGAAAAATACTGAAGATTTACTGAGAGGGAAGAAAGTGAGTACAAACACCTTTCCAGGAACTGGAGGTACACGGCGAAGCGAGACGGTTTAAAGGGGCAGAGCCCCACTCCGTCCCCTAGTCCTGATCAATCAGAACGTGAAGATTTACTGAGAGGGAAGAAAGTGAGTACAAATACCTTTCCAGGAACTGGAGGTACACGGCGATGCGAGACGGCCACTCCGTCCCCTAGTCCTGATCAATCAGAACATGCTAATTACACTTTGGGACACAAACCCTGTGTAAACCAACACTGGCCCCCGCAAAACCAGAGCTGCCTAGCCTGTTATTCGAACACCGTGGCCCCCACTTCTGACCCCCAAATGCCAACAAGGCGTCAAGTTATCTGGGAAAATGGCCTCTGCCTCTAACTGCATGGAAGGACCCAACCGGCCAGCCACACCACGGAGCTGGGTCCCCGCGGATGGGAGGCCAGCTGGCGCCATTCCTGTGTTCCTCTGCTGGCACGTTCAGTCACGAGCTGGGAGGCCCGGGGAGGGGGGACGACGAAACAGGCATGGCCACCCACGGGACAATAGTTACACGTCTCACCAACAGCCCGAGGACGTGTTCACTTAGGAGATAATCAGAAAAGACAGGGAAATGGGCACGGAACTGCGAACGGAACGGGAACAGCGCTATCTGGTTGCAGCAGCTCGTGCCCCGGCTCCGCTGGGTGCCGGCAGCGGGCGGGCGGGCTCCGAGGTGGCCGGTCTCACTGGTGACCCGTCTGAGTGAGCACGAGGCAGGTTTGCGTGGAGCCACGCCTGGTGTCTCGGTCAGGACACACCTTCACCGAGAAAAGACTGACCAGATGACCCCGGGCAGCCCCCAGCCCACATCGGCCTCGTCGCCTCCCAGTGGGGATTCTGCCCCGTCACTGCTGGCGCTGCCATCTCTCCTCCCACTGGCCAGAGAACACGGCTGGCCGGGCAGGATGGACAGTGGCGGTCCTGACCCTTCAGAGGTGACCAGCAATGGGACACCTTTGACATCACGTTTTTCCCACGGGAAGTCTAACTTAGGGCATCAACACCTGTCGAATGTCCGTGTATCAGGCCCTGTTCTGGGCGTCCAGCCCTTAATGACTCTACAGTCAGGGATGATGATGTCACACCCCAGGTGCTGGAGATGGAGAAGGTGGGGGCCTTGACCAGGGCCACAGGGCACAGGATCCAGGTTAAACTCCAAAGCCAACCTCTAACAAAGTAATTCCGACACTTTTAAACTTCCAAAACCTCTAAATAGTAAACACGTCACTTCTAAAATTAACTGCTGAGTATCAGGAAGTAACTTCTAAACAGACGATTGCTCCAAGCCCTCAAAATGGGGAGCACTGGCCTGCTCAGAGCCGGACCCCCAGCCTTTAGCGGACCGATGGCAACTGCCTGAGCCTCGGTATCACACCACCATGCCCTTTCCATCACCTCCCTTGAAACAGAAACCTAAGGTCATGTGGCGATCATGCCACGAGACCCCCCCATGGTGCAGACACGTCCCTTCAGAGGCGTGTGGACAGACACCGACGGGCGTCCGTGCAGAGCCTCTGGGAAGCGGGGAAGCTCGCGGTGACTCGCCAGCTTCCGGATTGCTGGTTTCAGTTCAAGTTCCCCATGTGAGGCGCGGCTGCAGGGGACGCGCACCCAGGCGCTCCGGAGCAGAGCCGTAACGGGTCTGTGGGGCGCGCCTGCCGGGCGCAGGGCCGCAGCGGGCCGCAGGGCGGAGTCACGGAGGGCGAGGAGGCCCGGTTCCGTTTCCAGCCCCTTCCGACCCCTTCTGCTTAGAAGCTGCCCACACTCATGCCGCCGCGGCCCGAAGCCCCCGAAGGCCATGACACAGGCTTCCCTGTGCGCGGCGGGGACACCTGGAACTGGGCTCACGCTGTTCTCAGCGCCCGGCGGGCGGTTTTTTTTTTTTTTTTAAAGCACATTGAGGTTTTTTAGAAAGAACTGCTTTTCTGAAAACCTCACGTGGGCTAAATAAAGCAAGAGGGGACTGATTTCTGAGAGTAATGAGTCACACAGACTTAACTTTTTAATACCACAAAGATGCTCGCTACAGAAAACGGCACAAAGTAAAAAGCCATCATCTTCTTAGACCGAGATGTAGACAGTCTAAATTCTCTTGCAGACAGAATAAACCTAATAAGCTAATGCTGATTGGGGTAGCATCAGCAGGACGGCGGCCACCTTTCCCCAAAGCCGATCCTTTAGTTCCCCCTGCCACACAGGGAGTCAGTCACCTTACAACTGTGCAGACCTGAACGCTCTGACATGGATCTAGATGGTTCTGCCAGAGCAGGGGAAATCGGGGAGGGGACGACCAGGGACCCCTTCGGAGGCAAATCACCCAGGAGCACATCCCATTCTGATCGACGCGATGGCCTGGGAACCACTTAACTGGACGGGAAACAGAAGCACTGCTCTGGGGGTCTAGAATCTTCACTTAGATGGGGTGTATGCGAGAACCGGCAACTCCCATGGCTGGACGGACTCACAGGAAGACCGTGGCTCCTGCTGCCTCTGTCCCTGAACGCGGTTTTCCCCCCGGCCAGCCTGGTGGCAGTAAATGTTTGCTCACTCTCAGGAAGCGGCCTCGCCCAGCCCTGGGGGCATTGCGTGTCCAGTGCTCTCCTCCCAGCACTGGCCCGGGGCTTCCGTGTCCAACTCCAGCCCTTGGGGCCACGAGACCGAGACCAAGGCCAAGGCAGCTCTGAAAGGGAAGGTGGATCGCCCCACCCCCACCCCA